GGTTTTGAGCTGAAAGTTTTTATGATTCCAGTTTCTCTACTTGCTCAGCTTGATGGTAGTGTCGCTTCCTGGTCTTCTCCTTATTCCTCTGTATTTGCCACATAAATTCATGAGTGATGCAAACTAAAATTTAAATAATAATGCAGAGCATAGGTGCTCTGTATAAGTGAATATCAGTAAATCTCCTCTTAGCATGTACCTGCTAACTCTGCGCCATTCTGCCAGTCTTTTCACTGACATATCTGTTTGCACTGTCTTCACATCTCCTTTGTGGTTTTTCTTCCTGCTGATTGGTTATTTTAAAACTTAAGGTCCACCCTTCCTTTTTATTTGTTTTTGGGACACAGTTTCTCTGTGTAGTCCTGGCTGTCCTGGAACTAGCTCTGCAGACTAAGCTGGCCTCGAACTCACAGAGCTCTGCCTGCCTCTACCTCCTGAGTGCTGGAATTGAAGGTGTGTGCCACCGCCACCCGACCCACCCTTCCAGTAGTAATGGGAATCATGTGTCATTGGAGCATCCTGTAGTCATTACCCTAGGTAACACTACGTGCATCTTTGCCACATCAAGGCACTGCGCTCCCTGGTCCTTTTCTTCTCAGACATTTGCTAGATTTGATTTTACGGTGTCTTCATTTCCTCTTCCCAGTTTCTATGCCATTGTTTTCAAGTGTTCCCATTCAATATATACTTAACTCTAACCAGGACTGTTATTGTTGGGCACAGTTAATGGACTTTGCATTGTTCCCCATTCCTTCCTATTCCTTTGATGCTTTAACTTGAGATAATTTTCCTTTTGACTGAAGAACGTTCTGTATTATTTCCTGTGTACAAGTCTTGTTGGTGGCAAATTGTTCAAAAAAATAAACTACATTCGTTTATTTACTTAGTACACCACCTAACATAGAGAAGACACTTAAATTATTTGCTGAATGAATGAAAGTGTAGCTGTAAAGGAGTCTGGATGTAGAGGCAGCCTGCAGACACACCTTGGTTTTCTGTATGTATGACTGAGACTTTCTTGTCTTCTGATGCCTTTCTATGAACATGTGGCTTCCTTTTCCCCAGTCTCATCAGTCACTCACTTGCCTTTTAGTGTGTGGGTTCCCCGGTTTAACAACTGTAAAGCTGCATTTATTCCTTCTTTGTTTTATGTGTAAGAGTCTTTTGCCACATGTGTGTATGTGCACCAACTATGTGCAGTGCCCACAGAGGCTGGAAGAGGGTACCAGGTCCCCTGGATCTGGAGTTACAGATGTTTGTGAGCTTTTATGGGGGTGCTGGGAACTGAACCTGGGTCCTCTGCGGGAACAGCAAGTGCTCACACCTACTGAGCCATCTGTCTAGCTCCCAATCCTTCTTATCATTATTAGAGATTATACTGGGGATTTAGAATGGTATTCTCATAGACCTGGAAACCCAGAGCAGAAATAATTTTGTGTGATGTTTCTGTTGAAAACTAATAGACATTTGGGGGTCTGATGAGTAATTGGTTTGTTTGTGGCTTGTAAAATTTAACCTTTCAGACATGGAAAGGGATGCATGGGAGGTTATCTTAAAGGTTATCTTAAAAGGCTCCTATGACATTGTATTGGAACTGACCCCAGACACTAATGAAAGAGTAATCCTCCCCAAATCATCCCAAAGCTAATAATCCCCAGGGCTGCGTGTTGGTGATTAAAAAAGAAACGTAAGAGCAGCTGTCTTTTTGTTCAGCTTAATTCTGACTATGTACCTGGGTGGGTGTTAATTTCCTGGTGGTGCTGGCTGAGGGGAGGGAGGTGTTAGGTTTCTGCAGGGACTGAATGTGCAGACGGGAATTCTGCCTGGTGTGTGCCTGGGCAACAGCACAGTTCAGGGGAGCTCAAGCTTGTGAGCTCAGGTTGCGTGCCTTTTAATTTCTGTCCTTTAAGTTGGACACATGGGCCACTATGTGCCTTAGGACATGACAGTCCTATCAGGTGTCAGCTAGACGGCACACTTTAATTAAGAGTGCATCACCTCACCCCACCTCCAACAATGAGCCCTGCTGAATCTGTAAGGCAGAAGTCATTTGTCAGATGAACAACACCTTTATCCTGATCTGCCACATTATCTATCTATCTATCTATCTATCTATCTATCTATCTATCTATCTATCTATCTATCTATGCAGCAGGCGAGCATGGTGCTGGAGCAGTAGCTGAGAGCTTACATCCTTACCGGCAAGTAGGAGTCAGAGAGAGCTAGCTGGGAATGGTGTGGGCCTTTTGAAACCTCAAAGCCCACCTGAGCGATACACCTTAACTGTGCCATGTGCAGCTGGGAGTAGGGAACTCAGCTACACTTTTTCTGGACTTCAGACCCATAGAAACTATGAGATAGCAAAAACTGTTGTTTTAGGCTCTACCTTTGTAGCAAATTGTAAGGAAGTAATAATAATAATAATAATAATAATAATAATAATAATATAATAATACTCCACAACAATCCATATATCTATCACTAACTCAACTTCTAATTCTCTGTCAAGGTTAATGTTCATCTCAGTAAAGTCAAACACATTAGTCAATCAACTCCAGTTTTATTTCATTGTCTTTATTTATTTTGAGAAAGGATTCCTTTTGAATAACCTTGAATTCTAGGAAGATCACAAGCTTGAAGGTCAGTTCCCACCAAGATGAAGATAATTATCCATGAAAGTGAGTCTATGCATGACTTGTTCACCTAGCAGACTCGTCCAGTTCCATCTATTTTGTGGTAAATTATAGGTTTCTATTCTTTTTATGGCAGAAGAGTGTTCCACCATACATATGTGCCACATTTAAAAAACATCCATGTATCAGTTAACCCAACATCTCTTTATGATAAAAGTCCTGGAGAATCTAGAGATGCAGGGACATCTCAACATAATAAAATCAGTGTACAGCAAGCCCACAGCCAGCATTTTGTTAAACAGGAAAACTCAAGCATTTTCACTATAATCAGGAACAAGATCAGGATGTCTCCATTCCTCGCTCCATTCCTGCTCAATATGGTGCTTGAAGTCTGAGTTAGGGCAATTAGACAAATGAAGGAGATAAAGATAAATAAGAAAGTATGAAGTCAACGTATATTTATTTGTAGATGGTATGATTCTATACATAAAGACCATAAAGAGTCCATCAGAAAACTACAGTTGATAAACACGGTTCAGCAAGGTAGTATAGAATAGAAACACTATTTTTTTTTTCCAAACTGAAGTTGGCTTTGCTTAATTCCCCATCTCCCTCTGCACCTCTGTCTCAGGAAATGGATGGATTATTCATGTTAGAGTCTTGGTTCCCTTATATCCACACCTTTCTCTTCACCAATTCATTCTGCTACTCTGCCCTTTAGGAGGTTCATGCCTGGCCCAAGCCATGACTGACATCTTAGGGCTCCTTTTCCTGGAAGTTCTTCTCCCAACTTTCCCTGTGTCCCTTTCAGCCACTGTTGAGATACCTTCTCAAGGAAGCCTCTCCATAGCACACCATTGACTCATGCCCCCCCCATTTTGCCTTGCACAGTTTTCTCCACCACTTCACCATTTTACATAATCTTCATATTCCTACTATGCTTGATAATCAAACTACTTCATGTCACTTCTTTCTTTCAGGTTGGTAGTTCTACGAAGACATTGATTGCTTCTATGTCACTCCTGTGTAGCACTTAGTGGGCACTTAATTCATGTTTGGCATCCTTCACATTGGGACTTCTTCCCTAAACTTTCTGCTTTCATTTTCCCGTTGTTCTGACATTCTCCCTTTATAAGAAAAACCTGCACCCCAGCCTCTATTGGGGATTGGGGTATTTCAGTTGCCTTGAGTTGCTTCCTCCATAGCTTCCCTCTTCCCATCCACTAGCACTGTGTTGTATCTTTAGTAAAAGGAAATGTTTCTACTAATTGCATCCTTTCAGGAAATAGGGGGATTTACCCTGGGAGGACAACATTGGCCATGGCTGTCTCAAAGGGAACCACATGCTTTTTTTGGAACAGGAGTTAGCATTACTCTGCCTATTGATGTAAAAAGTTGATTCTCACTCAACGAGTGGCAGAACTTATCTTAGAATAATTTGGTACAAACTACTTTCCCTCTCCCTTTCACTAGGAGTGGAGATAAGAGAAATTAGGGTTCTGGATTCTAGGGAGGAAGGTCAAAACTCAAAGCTCTCCTGCTTGTTGAAGATAAAAAAGGACCTTCGAGGTGAGTATGGTGTAACTCTGGGTGGGAGCCAGCATCCAGGAGGCAGATAACCAGAGGAGCCCCTAGGGGAAAGAGGTCCTTAGTTCTTCTCTTTCCTCCTCAGTTTCTTGAGCATGGCACACAGAGAAGCTTCCTTTATGCTTAGGTCTTGTATCTTGGCACACAGCCCCTGACCTTCAGCGTAGACCACTCTTCTCTGCAGGGCTTCAGCATCTGTCCAAGTTGCCAGAGCAGGGCCGAGGGAGTTGAGCCGATTGCTCCATCAGAGCAGGTCACCCAGGCAGCAAGTTTGTTGCTTCCCCACAGCATCTCCTTTTCTATAGGTGCCACGTGCCACAATTTATACACAGACATGATTTGCCTGATTGTTGCAGTCTGGGCCTGGAATAATTTTAATTAACAGGAAAATGGTCCTCAATACACCGATTAGACCTCTTCAGGTACAACAAGATAAAAGCCTGATAATTTGGATGGAGTACTCTTCTTAAACATCTACTGTAGGCACGGCAGCCAATGGGAAAGCCAGGCTGACTCCCACCTGACCCAGTGAGTAATTAAGAGAGGGCTTTTTTCTTCTCCACCTCTCCCCCCTTCCACCCTGCTCCCCAACCGAAGCTTAACAGGTTAGCGGTATAATTTGGAGACTTTCAGGGGTCTCATACCAGAAGCTTAAGCAAGAGCCAAGGCATCTTCTACTCCCAGACACTAACCAGCAGAGGTTGAAAAGCTAGCAAGTGAGGGGAGGAAGGAGCCGGAAGCAAAGGTGGGAACAGTTCTCAGCAAAGTTTGAAAGGGCCTATGGCCATGAGTGAACTGGGCACGCAGAAGGCTGGTGAAGGCACTGTCTCTCGCCTGCTCAATGTGGTGGAAAGTGAGCTTCAGGCGGGGAGGGAGAAGGGAGATCCGACGGAGAAGCAACTTCAGATCATTCTGGAGGATGCCCCACTCTGGCAGAGATTCAAGGAAGTCACTAATGAAATGATCGTGACCAAGAATGGCAGGTGAGTTTGTCCGCATCCCGCTTGTTCTGGCCTTGTTGGCAAGGAAGGTAAGACTGACTCATTTAGGACCGATGAAGCTGCCACTCTTCACCCAGAGGCACTAGGCTCTGACCGAACACCTTAAAGAAAGACCGTCTCAGCTGGCTGTCACTCAGCCAATTTAATTAATTTCTTTGAGATCATCAGAGCAGTGGAAGATGGAGCCACCTGTCTTACACACACATTAAATGGGAATTACTATTGGGGGGGGGCATGCTCCATGCACTGGGGAAGTGGACTCAACTGTCAAAAACTGATATTAATTTTTGACTGCCTGTGTACCCTGGAGCAGTCGTGAGCACAACCTTGTTCAGATAGTGTGAAAGTCGGTTTTATTTGGAGACTGGACGGTTTCCCCTTAAGCATAGCAAACTTGTCCAACAATTTTGATTAGTCAAAGATTGGAATCGAAAGGGCAGCTTTAGCCACGTTGCCTATCCCTCTCCTGCTTCCTTGAGGGTGAGTGTTCAGTTATGATTGGATGTTTGTGACTATGTGAAAGGTGGCATGGTAACAGAGCATGAAGCTGTAATACTGTCTCGGGAAAGAGAAGTTTTCTTCTTTTATACCCCTGCAAAGAGTGGGGAGTATAGGTAGTGCTCTTTGCTGGTATTTCTCAGATCCTGTGAGGTTGAGTCTGTTTCAGAGGCTTTTGAGGCAATATTAACAGCTTGGACTTAGCAGAGGAGAAACAAGTGTTTTGAAAGACTTACTCACTGCTCAGCCACACTGACTCCTAATATGGTACTCATACGGTATCTTGTGGAACCCATGGGCACAAAAGCACGAAATCCTGAAGGACGTTTGCAGGAGTGTTGGTTGAGCGAGGACTCTTATTCTGACACCTTGAGAGAAATTTTGCTTATAGAGAAAAGTTGAAGCCAGCTCAAATTCAGGCTGGCTTTTGTCCTTGAGTAAAATGCTTTAGTTCCTGGTGTCTTAGCTTTCTAATTCTGAGTAAGACTCGACACGGAAAATGAGCTATCCCTGGTACAGCTGGAAGAATTATGAACCAGAGAGCCATTGCAAGGCAGTAAACTGCTTTCTGAGTCAAAGTTGTACTGTAAATAAGTGCATTTTATAAACTGCAATTACAGCAGCAGCGAAGCTAGAAATCTTGTTTGCTAATGACTTTTTTTCTTTCTAAACAGACCCTCATATGTGTACTATAAATTTTATTGCTCTGAATATTTGAATATTTAATTTCACTTGTTTCTTTTCTTGATAGGAAATATTCTAACTTCAAAGAATTACCCCAAGTTCTTAAGTAGTTTTGGTCTCTTTCAAAGATGAGTGATGATGCAATTGTAAAAACTTAATTGTGTCTGTTTGTGGGTGGAACATTCGGCTTGTGCTTTATTACTGTGTCGTCACACTAGTACCTAGATTCCATTATTTGGCTATCAAAGTGGCCCTCTATTACAACATAAATAAGAGCAACCAATAGATTAAAGTATGGTTCAAGTATTTTAGTAAAGTCAATAGAAGTCTCTGAGATATTGTTAAGTTAAATTTGATAGTAAATTATAGCAGATGTACCTTTGCCATTTGAAAAGAATGTTTCTTATCAATTTTTTTTAAACTTCAGTAAAATTTCTTTCAGTATATAAAGTTTACAATTGTTTATGTTTAAAGCCATTCCTGTTAATTATGTGAAAATTATTCTTTGTGGCAACAGTGCACTTGTGGACAAAGTGGTCCTTGTTATTATTGCAATCTTTTTCTTAAATTACCCTGAGTCTGCCGAGCCTTCAGGGTCAAGACTTCACCGGAAGTGGGACAGCATGCTTTACCCTGCTGAGGGTAAAGCGGCAGAGGAGCGGCAGATGAGTCTGTAAGAAACTGCTGTGGTAACTATCGCTCGAGCCCAAGCAGGACCTGCTCTTGCTCTCCCTGGGTTTTCCGACTACGATTTTAGTAGACGTCATTGTTCTTATCACGGACTACAGCTTCCCAGTTTTATCGTTTCCTTCTTCCTTCTTCCTTTCCTTACCCACCATCTCTTCCCCTGCCTTTTAACCCATTCTTCTCTGTCCAGGTATGTGCCTCCTCCAATTCCTGGTTCCAAACGGCTTCCTCAGCAGGTGGGTGGGCGGCCCTTCTCCAAGGGAAAGTTTGCTTTAAGGCCCCGTCCTGGGGCCTTAAACGGACTGAGTTTTCTAGAAGCTTCGGTTAGACAAGTGAGCTAAGCCTTGAGCACGCGTGCTCCCAAGGTTCCCTTTTCTCTTCTTTCTGCTTTTCTCCCCATTGCAAATTAAACAACAACAAACAAATTTTTAGCCATTTGTGTTTGATAAGCTTTTAGATACAGCTATAATTACAACACTCCCAGTCTGTACTTACTTTCATCTCCACTGTTTAAGCTAGAAATTGTGTAGGATGCAGGAAAAAATTCAATTCCAACTATCCAGGCAATTGAATTAAAAACCTCTTCCCCCCTCCCCCCACCATCCTCCTTTTTCTCCTCTTCTTTTTTATTCTTTCTTTCTTTTCTTCATTCCTTCTTTATCTTTTTCCTTCCTTCCTTCCTTCCTTCCTTCCTTCCTTCCTTCCTTCTTTCTAGTACTAGAGACTGCCATCGTACTAGAGACTACTGCCTTATACTAGGCAAGTGATGTACTATTGAGCTGTATCCCCAACCCTCTTTTGAAGGTCTCACTAAGTTGCCCAGGCTGGCCTTGAACTTAATTGGAACCCCATGTTGGCCTTGAGTTTTTAGCTATCATGCCTCAGCCTCCGGAGAAGCTGAGACAGTAGCCTATGAACTCAGGCCCAATATAGTCATTTTCTTTACCTGAAAACATCTTCATCTGAGAGGCAAGTGCTGTGTTTCATGTATAATTTATGCAGTTTAATAATTTTGAGTTAGTTAAATTTGCCTGGAGCAGATTTTAAGAAATTGGAAGCATTTTCTGACATATCTGGTACTTACAGATTATCATAAATAGGGGCTGGGAATGCAGGGTTGGAATCTGTAGATGTGTGTGTGTGTGTGTGTGTGTGTGTGTGTGAGTGTGTGTGTGTGTGTGTGTTCGCATGTGTGCGCACGCACGCGCTAGTGATGCTCAGCTCCTGCTAGCAGTTTCCAGTGAGGGCAAAAGATTTATATGTGATTGACAACTGCAGCTGAGCATATGCCTGCTTACTTTCATGTATTGACTTTCATGTGCTATGTGTTTCATGATTATACAACATATATGCAGATGAACACACACACACACACACACACACACACACACACACACACACACACACACACACACCTCAACCCGACAGCTCTAGTGAGCCCCTGATGACTGTTACTGTTTGGTGAGGAGAGTGAAGAGGGTGTTCTTGAGCAAGACTTCCTGAGGGTTACCTTGAACCGCTTGTTTCTCCCCTCCTTAGCAAGTCCGTCTCATAATCACTTCCTGTTTTCTTCTGTAGCCCTCACTCCGGCCAGCCTCTTCTAGCAGGTCTGTCAACTGGAAAGCTAACTTCACAGCACAACCAAAGCCAAGTTTGTGGGTAAAAGGCAATACCCATGACCCATCAAGCATGGTGCTTGGGGATGAGTTGTTCATGTTGTCACATTTTCTCTCTTTTCCCTCTCCATCACCTCCTCTTTCTCTTTGAGGAGACTCTTTCAAGAATGAATTAAGCACTGGTAATCTGTGTTAGAGGCTGATCCTAAACTTAAAGTCTCTTGAACTCTCTGTGCTTAGTCATGCTTTCCCTCCCCGTGCTTAGTCATGCTTCGGGGGGAAACAAGAAAAATCACTTTCAATAGAAATGGCTTTCATCCCTGATAGCAAAGCCTTGCCCTGAGTGATGATTGCGGGTCATAGATGGTGTGTCAAGGTCACTGAGGGTCAACACAAAGGAGGTGAAGGGGATTAACTTGGCTAAGAGGGAGGAGGTCTAGTCGGGTTCTGAGGCCTTTGGAAGGCTGACGGATTTATTCATTCCTCACTGTGATAACAGAAATTAAAATCACATGGCATTATTTAGTTCATTCATGTGGTGATCTCCAAACCAAGAATAATTATAAAGTTCTTGGCAAATGGATCACTAAAGGGTATAAAACGGTTGATCATCCTATCATTTTTCATAGAAGACTTCTTTCCAAGCTTGTTTATTTAATCGGCAGCATTATTGTATGATTCACATAACATATCACTCATACATTTAAGGCGCACAGTTATATGGGTTTGGTATATTCACAGAATTGTGACTCCTTCTCCACCACTGATTTTTAGAACATTTCATTGTGTTCTCCCCACCAAAGAATCCTATATCCCTTAGCCATCAGTTTGCTTTTTGCCTCTATAGATTTACTTATTCTGGTCATTTCATGCAGTGGACCCATACAATATGTGATTATTTGTGAAAAAATTTCACTTAACCCAGTGTTCATGTAAATTGTAGCATTAGGCAGTATTGCAGACACTTTGTGACCAAGTAACACCCATCACATGATGTATTTTGCATCTATTCGTCATTCAATGCATCTGTCTGTTTTTGCAATAATGCTGCTATGACATATGTGTAATCACGTGTTTTCATCCTTCCTGCATACATTCGTAGGAGTGGAATTGCAAGATTAGATAGTAACGCCAACAGACCATTTTCCAAAGTGACTGCACCATTTTACATCCTCCACAGCACTGTGAGAGGGGCTCCAGTCTCTCCATGTTCACCAACATTTTCTATTGTATTCTTGCCTTTCTACTGTAGCTGTCCTTGAAGGTGTGATGTGGCGTCTTACTTGTGTGCTTTTAGGGTGGCTAGTGATAGCTACTTGTGCAGTCATGGCTTCTTTCCAATATCAAGTATTTCTGAATTTCTGAAAGAAGGAAGAAATGCCATTATGGGTTTCTTCTTTGTGATTGAGACCTCGCACAATAGAGTTGAGAGACTAAGAGGGAGTGCTCAAACCTATTGGAACACTGCATGGGGGCGTTTCTTTGCCCCAGCAGATATGACTTTCTCTTTTAGTCTCTGGACTGGTAGGCTTATTGGAACCTTGGGGCCTCTGTAGTAAAATAGGTAGTAACACCTCCTTGTAGTGAAGGAAGGCTTAAACAAAGTGTAACAACCTATGGTAACCTTGGGTGCATATGGTAACTATTACTATTGGAAAATGAACTTGCATTAAATTATCTTGTTAGTGGTAAGTGAGAATTATACAACAACTTCCAGTGTTTGATGTCACACTGTCATCTTGAGAGTTGTGTCATTCAGTGCTCAGTGTGAGGGAATAGACACGCTTTGCAGATTTTGTTCTTATTTAAAATAGCATGCTACTGATGCTACATGTCCTCATGGTACTTTTGAACTTTAGTTCACAAAACAACAACTTACTTGTCACTCTTGGGCTTTTAATTTTTTTTTTTATTCTTATAAGACAGGGTCTAATTATGATGTCTCAGCTGGTCTGGAACTTGCTGTGTAGACCAAGCTGGTTTTGAATTCGTAGAGACCCACCTGCCTCTGCGTGGCAAGTGTAAATATTTCCTTGACTTTGCCTCTGCCACTGGTAATGAGTTACCACACTCCACTCTTGTGTTTTTTTTTTTTTAATATAATGCCAAATGAAGAAGAAAATCAAAAAACAAACCCCAAATATATCTCTTTAGGGAATCAGAAGACAGAGACCACTTGCAGCCATACCTCTTCCTATCTGGAGGGGAGTGATTTGGGATTCTCAGCCAAGAATATGGGTTGGGAACATATTATCAGATGCATTTTCCCCTAGACACTTTATTTCTGATGCGCATTCTTAATCTTATTTATTGAAACTCATGTCACAGCCAGGCAGCTTCATAAAGTTTCAGGAACTCAGTGAGTTGATTCTCATGAAGTGTTAATTCCAAAACCTGGTGAATGTGCCAAGTATTGGCACTCTGCCCTTAGACTCATGACCTCCACCTGGCCAGACCTGCTGCTGTTCTAGAATCTTACCTTGGGTCACTTTGGACATTGGAAGCACATGCAGTATCAACTCTGCCCCTGGCTGGCAGAAACCACTTCCCTTGGCTTTTCCTTTTGGAAACTAGAAGTCTAGAAAGAACTGGGGGAACTGAGTGATGGTGGCTATGTGGTTTCTCTTTGTGGGTAATAAAAAAGCTCTAAGCATCAGAAGTCAGATAGTCAGATATTTAGATAGATGCAAATATTGGCATTGTTCTGGAGGGTTGAAAAGGACCAGTGAATTCATATCTACATATCAAGAAGTATTTGCCTTGACCAAAGATGCCCACATAATGATCAAAGACAGGTGGGGCTTAGGGTGTGCACTCCCCCCTGTGTTCATGGGAATGGGAAGGCTCTGAGAAGTCCTGCAGGAAAAGGTCTCTAACTGTTCAGCCACAATGCCCCCTCCTGCTTGCTTTACCATGCACACTCTATCACATTTATTCACAGCAGGGTTCCATGCCAGTCTGGGGAGGGTAGGTCTATGGTATTGGGACACTAGGGAGAAAGCTGTCTGAGAATGCTGCATCTGAGTACACACTTATCTGTGTGTCCTTCTGTATGACATGTCTAGACCGTGGTCTGCATATTGTAACATACAGACCAGTGTTTTATAGTCAAACCCCAATGCCAAATGCATTAAAAGCAAGAGGCTCTGGTGGAATTGGGGCTGAGGTCTTAGCTGCTGTCTCTGTGGCCTCCCTTCCAGATTGTTCCATGGGAAGGGCTCCTCAGGGGTGAGAGGCCTTGGGGCAAGGAGGGGAAGGGATCCACTAATGTGCCTTTGTGGCTGTTTCTGGCTTCTTTCAGACGGATGTTCCCTGTGCTGAAGATTAGTGTCACAGGACTGGACCCCAATGCCATGTACTCCCTCCTGCTGGACTTTGTCCCCACAGACAGCCACCGCTGGAAGTACGTCAATGGGGAATGGGTACCCGCAGGCAAGCCAGAGGTCTCTAGCCACAGCTGTGTCTACATTCACCCCGACTCCCCCAACTTTGGGGCTCACTGGATGAAAGCCCCCATCTCCTTCAGCAAAGTGAAGCTGACCAACAAGCTCAATGGAGGCGGGCAGGTACGTGTGGCCTCCCCACACACCAATCAAGAAATATCAAGGGTGCATTTAGGCAATTAGAGGGTCCTCAGCAGCCTCTTTGCCCACAGAAGCCCGTTATTTCCTGGAGTCCAAATGTAAACAGGAATAAACAGCTCTTAATTGGTGCTTCAGCTTTTAATGGACTTCCTGATGTTAAGAGAACGGGAGAGAGTGCACTAGTTTACTTAATCATCAGGCTCTTTTCCGTTTTGTCTTGCGTGTGGTGCTTTTTACCCAGTTCAGGGAGGGAGATGTTTGTGGGTACCAAGGTTTTGTTTTCCTCTCCCCCCCCACTTTTTTTTTTGGTGTAAGTGGCATGTTGGCAATAGACAAATACCTTAATAAAAAGCTGCTCCCAAATGAAATAATTACTTCTTCTGCTTGGGCATTATGATAATTATCAATAGAATATTGAACCAGCTTTTTTTTTTCAGAAAAAAATAATCCAAACAAACCTTAAATAAGGAAGGTTTTATTTTAAAAATCTCCAATTAGGGTAAACAAAATGTAGAGCTTTTTCCCTCCATTTCAGTGGCAGGTTGCAAATCCAGCTCCCTGGGTAAGGCCGTTAGTTAGTTTATAAAATTCAGACTGTTTGGGAGCATTGGAGATGGGATGTGGGGGACGAGGCCTACTTCTCTCCCCAGCCCTCAGCTTTTGCTTTGTCTGTGCTGAGCCTATGCCTTCTCCTTTCTCTCTGTGCTAAGGGAGCATCACCGCCCAGAGTTTAGGAGGTAGAAGTAATGCAATCCTGGGATTTGGGTTAGCTAAAATATTCTTTATTAAAATGCAAATTTAAGGTTAGTTGTTCCTGCCCTACTATATCTCACAGCACAAGGCTTTCAATAGCCTTTCATCTAAATCATGAAGAGTGAATTTTGTATAACCCTCTGATACTAGATTTGCTTGCCCTGTAGGCACTGTTAACATTTTGTTACTGGGATTCTTCATATATAAACAAATATATATTTAAACAGATTGAAATGTATATTGTCATGCTGAACACTGAGGAAGCAAGAAAATGGAGGCCTGGATTTGGGTAGAATAGAGAAAACTTAACTTTGGCTGTCCACCTCTGACCCCAGTGTGAGTGTCAGTGTGATGCTTGCTGGGATTGTCTGTAAAACATTTCCCCATTCATTTTTACATAGGACTCCATGCGTATGTCCCTGGTTGGGTGAGTGCCGAGCTTGGGAGGAACCCAAGGTGCTGGCTAGCTGATGAACTATGACATGCCAGGCTTAGCTGTGCTTTTTAAAAAACGTTTTCCTCCCATTCAACAGATAATGCTGAATTCTCTGCATAAATATGAGCCCCAGGTTCACATAGTACGTGTTGGAGGTGCCCATCGAATGGTCATGAACTGCTCCTTTCCTGAAACCCAGTTCATTGCTGTGACTGCCTATCAGAACGAGGAGGTAAGTGAGTGTGTCTTGTGGCGCTCCAACCTCCCCCCCCCAGGTGCCCGTGTGTGCCTCTTGTGTGTGTGTGTGTGTGTGTGTGTGTGTGTGTGTGTGTGTGTGTGTGTGTGTTACATGGCAGTGTATGGCAGAATTGGTGGGAGTCTTTTTATTGACAATGAGCAAGACTGAACAGAATTTAAGTTTTTAGGGTTTGGACACTCTCATCATTGATAAAGCTGAACAGTGAGGCATTGCAGAGGCTCTCATGCCTGTCTGTTTGCCAAAGGTCCATTCATGTGCTATTCAGCTTTCTGTCGCTGCTATAGGTACAGGGGACAATACAGAGAAAGGTTTATTTTGTCTTAACATTCTGGAGGCTCCAGTACAGTCCAAGTGCCCCCTTTGCTTTTGTAGGGGAAAAAAAACCCTCCCCAACTTCCCTTCAAGGGCATGTCTCAGTGACCTGAAGACCTCTGACTAAGCGTTCTACCTCCTAAATATGCCACCAGCTCCTATGGGCACCAAGCCTTCACACAGGTGTCTTTGGGACACGCCCAAAGCAATCCACCAAAGCAGCCTCTCTCAGTGCCTTGTATATACAAGACACACTTGTGTATCATCTAAAACTGCTGAGTTATATTGGAAATCTGGCGTCTTTGTTTTGGGTCCCTTAGTGTGCTTTAGTGTGCTTGGCCGGCAGCAAGCCTATGTGTCTGAGAGGAGTGTGGACTGGTAGGGTGGCTGGCAACTTCTCCTTTCTGTTCTGGAAGCCAGCCTGTGGGGTTGACACACGTATCCTCCTAAGGTTTTATGACACTATCTGCTCTGCTTGTCACATTTTTCTCTCTGAGCAGTCAGGTTTTTTCCTACTCAGTCACTTGAACATGGAGTGCTGAGAATTCCCAGCCTGGCCTCTCTGTGAACTGCTTTGAGTCCATCCCATTCTCCAGGGCCTGGCAGCCCTGCTAATACTCAGAAAAGACTGGAAAGCATTGGATCCTTTTTGTTTGAGCTTAAACATGAAAGATAATATAGGTTTATTAAAAAACATGTAATGGATGGATAGCAGAGTATGCAAGGCAAAAAGGAAAAGGAAAAAATGCATTTGCTTTTGGAAGCACACTCTCTATGACAGCTATAGTGACCAGCTTTAAAGTGTGTTCCCCCACACTTGCTGTGACATAGACGAGCATTTCTTCATAGAGATTTCATAGAGAGGTTTCTTCATATAAATTGGTTCATCTTGTAAACATTTAGGTCTAAGTTTCTTTTCTTCCTTCCTTAAACAACTCGATAGTATATAATGGGTCTCCTTCTATGAAATTACATTCAGGCTTATCTCTTTTTCCTATACTCATTCCGGAATTTAATTTTACAGTTATATGACTCATGTGAGCAGCCTCCTGCCCCCAGCAGAACTTAAGTTGTTTTATTTTCTATTATAAATTATGCTGCTGGGTGATCTATCATAGTTGCTTAATAGTGAACACCTAGAGACAGGATTGTTCTGCACAAGAAATGTACGTTGAGGATTTTGATAAATGTGCAAGTTTTCCCCCTGAAAAGGGCATCTCATTGACAGCCCCCACACAGAAGCAGCCCCTTTCACCCTTGGCAATCTTACTGTTAAAAAACGATAGCTTCTGGCTGCTTTACTGTACATTTCTGTATGTGGCTGCTTTAACAGAGCCAGGTGCCAGGATTGGCATCACCGGGGATGGTTTTTAGAATCTGCTGTGTTCAGTCTCCTATGAAGGGCCCTGGTGATATCAGGCTGGAAACTGGCATCTTTGTTCCTGTCGGTAAAATGGTGTCGCAGGCCTAGGTTAGGGGAAGTGCGCAGAGTGTAGCTGTGATTCTATAAAGTAGCCCAGGCTCTTGGAAGCCTGGCCATGGACCAGTGGGAGCAGAAACTCCTACAGTTCTCCCACTGGGACTGTCTTTCAAGATGACGCCTGCAGTTTCTCAGCTAGCCTTTTCTTCTCCACTTCTCTCTGGGAAGAGTCTGTGTTGAAGGGAAACTCTGTGGCTTTTGTATCTCAGGGAAGTGTCCTGGCTCCTCTACCCAGGCAGTGATCCCTGCCCATCTCCATGTTGCTTGCTCTTAGCCCCTGGCCCTTGTCATTCAGTTTCCAACTTGGGAGATGCTCAGAAACTTTTCCTGGCCACAGGTGCTAGATAGTTCTCTTTGAACCAACTGCCTGGTAATGGCTATTCTTCTAGCAAATTCCCCAGCCCGACTTAGCCATTCCTTGAATTTGAACACAAGGCCTGGAGATCAAGCTATGTGAAATTTAAGCACAGACTCTCCTACTGCTCACAAGGTTTCCCTGGGAGTTGAGCAGGTGTGGAGCTGGCTGAGAGAGTCCAAAAATCTCCTTTGCACCTAGTTCTAGCTTCACTTCCCACCCAACCACTCCAGGCTTAAGCCAAGAAAATACCAGGGCATCTGATCCTGACCTACACTCCCTTCCCCTTTTCTAGAAAGAGCTGTACATTTATTTTACTTTTCTTCCTCCACACAGAGAGTTATAGGCTCTTGCAGACATCAATATTTTGTTTTCTATTTCTTCAAAAGTATTTGCTGGATATCAGTACATGCTGGCTACTATCATAGATGCTGGAAATGGCAATGAACAAAACAGATACGAACATCATTCTCAATGTACTTATACATCAGTTGGTGGGAGATAAAGACAGACATTCTCTTTCTGCTTCCAGCTCTGTCGCAAGCTCTGCCTCTGTCTCTGTCTGTCTTTGTGTGTGTCTGTGTCTCTGTCTCTATCATTATGAAAGATGGAGCTGATGAGAGAGAATGTGGAATCAGAGCTGTGAGGTTTCACATTTTCACTTTTCTTTATAACTGTCTAATAGTTCCCTTTCATTGTAGAAGCTACAGATTAACACACACACACACACACACACACACACACACACACACACACACAGATATGTATCATACACACACACACACACACACACACACACACACACACACACACACACACACGTCTCAAGAGTCTGTCCTGTTCCCTTATTGAATGGATTCTGATGATGTAGAATGACAGTGAGTGGGAACGGACATGTGTTTTCACAGTAACACGGCCTTATGGGTAAGTGACTCCATGAGAACAAGGGACTTGATGCTGAACTGTGTATAGTTAGTGAGGTGGGACTCACACCTGTGCTACACTCCCTACTGTGTGATAGGAAAGGACATTGTTTATGGTAGGAGCTCAGTGATTTTTGAATAGAATTGAAAAATGAATGAAAAGGAGGGTGAGTAGGTTAGCACTACCAGGCTTTACTGATTCCTAACACTGTGCCCACTTGGCTCACTTTGCAATCTTTGTTTGGTATTTTTGTCCCACGGTGCAGCAGTCAGTGCATTAGTGAACAATGAGACACGGGAAGGGAGAACAGGAAAGAGGGAATTGTAACTTTACTGAAGTTCACAGGGGGAGACCGGGGCTCTGCCTGAACTTTGCACTGTTTAACTAACCCTTCTTGTCTTTGCAAATGCAAGATAACAGCTCTCAAAATTAAGTACAACCCTTTTGCCAAGGCCTTCTTGGATGCCAAGGAAAGGTGAGTAGAAGGATTTCAGTAAGATCTTGTGAACTGAATTCTGCAAACATGGGGCTTCTTGAGCTGAGCTTGAGCTTGAGTTGGCTTAGCTAGAAATACGCTGCAATGCTCCGTTTAGTGCTGAACAAATTCAACAAAATCCAAACTGAATCACAATCGTTTGTTCCTGTAGCAGCTGCTATAGGTCCAGGGGAGCCTGCAACTGTCAGTATTTTATCAACCTTGTTTTACAGTGGATTATTGAATGTAGCATAACCACATAAGATGTGATTTAGGTTTTAATAACTTTCTTTGCACTTTTCCAACCTTTGAAAAATACCTATGGTGTTGTAATTTAGTTTTTGAGACATGATCTCAGGCAAACCAGGCTTGCCTTGAACTTGCTGGGTATCTGAGGATGATCTTGAACTTCTGATCTTCCTGCCTCCGTTTCACACGTGCTTGGGTTTAGAAGCATGTACTGCTGTGCTTCATGTATGTGGTGCTGGGCATTGGAGCTAGAACTTTGCACATGCTAGACAAGCATTCTACCGACTCAGCTATAATCTCCAACCCATGAATATGGCTTTAATAATCCCCCCTTTTTCTTCAGATAGGATCTCTTTATGCCCTGAAGTCTCCATCTTGCTGCCTCTGGAATAGTGGGGTTATAGGTGTATACTGCTAACTAGTTTTCAATTTTTTTAAAGAAAGGAACCTTTAGTGCAAGAAAAGTGAAAAACCATGGGAAGCTTCTATTTTTCAGTGGTGAGAAGAGTCAGAGGCTTTCTGGGGCATGAATGGTCATCTGCCAGACTGGGCGAGTGTTTTGGCAACTCCCCACCTCTCCTTTCCATGGAAGGATAAAACGAAAGAGGAGTGTAAACCATTCCTGTTTCTACTGATTCTTGAAGTACAGTGAGGTCACCTTTGAAATGTTCTTACTTTACTGACCAAATTTCAATTTTTTTTTCACTGATTTGTTTGTTTTTCGAAACAGGATTTCTCTATGTGGCCCTGGCTGTCCTGGAACTAGCTCTGTAGATCAGGCTGGCCTTAAACTCACAGAGACTGGCCTGCCTCTGCCTCTACCATGTATGGTGGAGACATATTTCACCATGTCTGGCTTTCACTGATTTTTTTTTAAATGTCTAATCTTTTCTTTCCCTTTTAAAGGCTATTGGTTGATGGACAGCCATTTTTAATGCTATGCCACAGGACTCTGTTCAATATTTGGGAATATTTGGATGACGTAGACAACATACTTAGATAAGTTTTTCAGATAACAGAAGTCCTAAAGGACAAGTTGATCTGCGAGGTGACAAAATTTAAATCAAAGTGATAGTAGCATGCCATGATAGGAAGAATTCAGAAACCCACGGGGCTATAGTGCACACGCCTTTAATCCCAGCACTCAGGAGGCAGAGGCAGGCGGAGGGCCATTGGTAGATCTAGTATATCACCTATGGAATTGTCCCAAAACCATGAGCAGATCTTAACTGCTGTTATTACTGTCTACATATTGTCAGGCACGTAAAAGAATCACAAAACCAGTCAAATCAAAGTAAAAAGTGATGGCTGTGAGAATGACAGGAAAGGAAAAGTAAAGCTGTCACAATTTCATGTAGTGCCTCCAGGAAGGTGAAACTGGGGAGGGTGGTAGCTTTGACTGTTCTTATTCTAAGAAGCTTATCACCCTCTGCAGAGAGTTGCATGTGACCTATGCTGGACTGTAACAGACCGTGACTTTCATTACTCTTTCAGAAACCACCTAAAGGACATTCCAGAGGCTGTCTCCGAGAGCCAGCATGTGACCTATTCTCACTGTGAGTGGAGTGGGCAGTATGTGGGAGGCACGTGGGGTCACACGGAGAGCTGTCTTTCTTCATGCTCATTTTACTGTCATGACTGTGTAAGGCCCAGTCCAAATTGAGACCCCATAAGTCATTTCTCCAACCCGAGGCAAGTGTATGCCTTCTCCAGAGTTCCTAGAGAGAAGCCAGGGTCCTAGGTGAAGAGGCCCAAGCAATCCTTGAAAGGAAGTAATAAATTTCATACACTCTAGCTGTCACAAATAAGAGCCCCATTAACAGGAATCCAGGCCTATCTTCTCCCTTCATAGTCTCCATTCTTGCTTCTTTGTTCTAGAGTTTTCACTTTCTTAATTTTTGCTGATGTTGGAGTGGGTCCTCATTGTCGCACCTCAGCAGGCTGTGGCCTCAGGTGTTAGGGCGTGACTGAGTTTACTGCAGGGCAGGAGAACTGGAGCTCATCAACCTGGGATTGTCAGGTAGCACTGGACATTCCTGGTGGTACCACTTTCTCTGTGTCCCAGCATAGTAGGGGCCTCATGGTGGAGCCAGACTTCTGAAGCTGCAATGGTAAGCCTAGGGCAGTGACAAGGGAGTAAAGCTGACCTCCGGACACACTCTTTTTTTCCTCTTCGTTTAAAATTGAAAATAGATTTTCTGGCTAAAGAGGTGGCTCAGTGGTTAAGAGCATTAGCTGCTCTTCCAGAGTTTCTGAGTTCAATTCCCAGCAACCACATCGTGGCTCATAACCACCTGTAATGAGATCTGGGGCCATCTTCTGGCCTGCAGGGACACATGCATGCAGAATACTGTATAATAAATAAATCTGTTTGTTTTTTTTTTTTAAAGAAAGTAGATTCTTCTCTCATACAACACATCTGACCATATTTCCCCTCCCTCCACTCCTCTTAGCTCCTCACCCCAGATCCACTCCCCTTCCATTTCCTTTCAGAAGGAGCAGGCCTCCAAGAGACAGCAACCAACACAACGAAGCAAGATACAATAAGACAAGGCAAAGGCGCTTATATCAAGGCTGGATAAAGCAACCCAATGGGAGGAAAAGAGTCCCAAGAGCAGGCAAAAGAGTCAGAGACACACCCGCTACCACTGTTAGGGGCCCCACAAAAACACCAAGCTATCAGCCATTTGTATACGCAAAGGACCTGGAGCAGACCTGTGCAGGCCCCGAGCAGGCTGCTTCAGTCTCTGTGACCCTGTGAGCTAGTAATTGATTTAGTGGTCTGTGTTCTGGCTGACACACTCTTTAGTTCAGACGCTAATGGGTTGATGAGAATGATTCTTGCTGCCTTGTGAAAGCTTTGGAAGTCTTCACCCCCTCCCATCCCCAAACTGCAAGGCATCTTCTGTGGAGATGTGTCGGCAGAGTACTTCCTGCAGAGAAGCCAACAGGAAAGCCTTTCGAAGGGACTTTAGTTAATGTTTTCTGTTTAGGTGCAGGTCAGTGAGGACCCGCACCTTCTCAATATCCACGAGCTGTAATGTTCCCAGCAAACACCCTGAGGTGTAGACATCCCCGGGGCAAACTAAGTTGGGAGGAGCTCCGCCTTGGTTTTGCCTAGTATACATGTGGATCCTGATTCTATGAGTCAATGCAGAGAAGTTTTAAATTTTCTCTAAAGTGTCTATAATTTTAATCTAAGAAATAGACTGATAAGTACAAGTATGCAAATTATAAACATGCAGTAATACGAGAGCCATAAAGGAAATCTGAGTGTTACATGGCTGGAGCAAATAGTATGTTGTGTTACAGACAGAGCCTCGGGGCTGCTGCGGGTGGGGGTGGAGAGACAGTGGTACTCTCTGTGGAAGGGTGAGGGGAGCAAGCAGTTCCGTCCTGGAGGTTGGTTGCACAGGTGATAACCTGGTGACAGATCTGTGTGGTCCTGTGAGTCTTTTTTTTTTTTTTAATTTTTTGTTTTTTTTAATTTTAGAAGCATTCTTATTTTACATATCAATCCCCCATTCCCTCGCCCTCCCATCTTTCCATGCCCCCCACTGGCTCCCCTAACTCACTCTCGCCCACTCCCCAAGAATAGTGAGGCCCTCCATGGGGACCATCAAAGTCCTTCACATCATTTGGGGGAGGACCTAGGCCCTCATTAGTGTATCTGGGCAGCAATAGTATCCCTCCATAGGGAATGGGCTCCCAATGTCCATTTGTGATCTAGGGATAAACACTGGCTCCACTGTTAGAGGTCCCATAGACTGTCCTGGCCTCCTAGCTGGCACACACATTCACAGGGCTTGGTTCAGTCCAATGCTGTTTCCCCAGCTTTATGACTAGGATCTCCATGCTCTCACTAGGTCAGGTCAACTGTTTCTGTGGGTTTCTCCAGCACAGTCTTGGCTTCTTTGCTCATCCTTCTCCCTCTCTGCAACTGGATTCCAGGAGTACGACTCAATGTTTAGCTCCTCTGAGTCTTTTGAGCAGAGCTTAGTAAGGAGAGCCCAGGGAAAGCCCGTGCACTGCTGCTGACTTCTTTACACATCTGGGTCTCCCCACAAGCACAGCTTTTTAGAGCTGTCCCTGTGTGAAAGGCCCCTGAAGAGCCATTTCAGGACATGCTAAAGACATACATTATGGGGTGGGCTATTTTGAGCTTTCTTACCGGGTGGAGCTAATGACCCAGGTGGAGCTAATGAAGAGGTCAAAGGGATTGGGGACAATGCTGCAAACTTTGTTAACTTATATGTAAACATTTTAAGCAGGGAGAGTGGGCTCCATACCCAGCTCCATTTTCTTTTTTTAAAATTTAAAAATTTTAAAAAAGATTTTCTTGTATTTATATTTTATGTATATGAATGCTTGCATGTATACCTGCAGGTCAGAAGAGGGCATAAGATCCTCTCAGAAGTGGTTATGAGCCACCATGTGGTTGCTGGGAATTGAACTCAGGACCTCTGGAAGAGCAGCCAGTGCTCTCAACCTCTGAGCCATCTCTCCAACTCAAGCCAGCTCTCTTTTCACATTGCTGAGATCTAGGTGACAAGCCACAGCTACTGTGCCTAAGGAGCAGCTGTGGCCCTGTCTAGCGTCCACTTGTCATCTCAGCTGAGATGGCTTCTTGCTTCAGGACTCACGTTGCTAAGTCTCACTTTTGCCTAGAAACCACTTAAAGTAGGGCATTCTGTTCAGCATCTTTACCAACCATCTCTATGAAGTGTTTTGCCGACTTCCAAAGTTCAGCGAAAGGTTTGTTGTGCAGAATTTGCTCCTTCTCTTTTTTTTTTTTTTTTTGTGCTCTCAGAATCCTGTTTGTAGGCTCTGGAAGACATCATTTTCCCACTGGGTAGAAAAGAGAGGTACTTTCACTCTTCCTGTGTAACCACATTAGAGAGCCTTAGTATCTGCAGTCAGTGATGTTTCTCCAGGCTAACGTTTCCTTTAACTAAGCCAGAACGACTTTTGCCATACGATTTTGATGTGGAAGTCTCTGCATTTTCTTCTTGTCTATTCTAGTGGGAGGCTGGATCTTTTCCAATCCGGATGGCATGTGCGCAGCAGGGAACACCAGTTACCAGTATGCTACGCCTTTGCCTCTGTCTGCTCCCCACACCCACCATGGCTGTGAGCACTACCCTGGCCTCCGAGGACATCGGCAGGCTCCCTACCCCTCTGCGTACATGCATAGAAACCATTCTCCCTCAGGTATGTGGTTCTGCTAATTAAACCCTTGGGCTTGTACCTTGTGTGTGTGTGTGGGGGGGGGGTGCACAGATGCTAAAAAGAAATACCTGAAGACGGAATCTCTTTCATCTATAGTATACATACACACATATAATGCATGTATATGTGTTACTTTGTATACTAATATTGGATAGCAGAGTTTTGTCTCCTCACCTTCTGTGTGTGTGGAATTGATCCCAGGGCACATGCATAGTGGACAAGTGCTGTACCACTGGGCTATAGCCCAGCCCTGTCCATGGTCTCTCTCTAACAGGTATGAAAGGCCTCAGAGCACTTGTGTACTGATAGTTTTAGGTTGATGTCTGATGCTTAGTCAAGTCGTGGGTTCCGAGACACGCATCTCATTGTCCTTCAGGGCTTTTCCTTATCACTGTGTCCTGGTCCAGGGAGTCTGGGTCCAGTGCAGGAAAATTGTCAGGCAATCTCTGGGGGAGTTACAGTCCAGTCTGTTCAAGCCTTTGGTTGAGTTGGAGTCATACAGGCTCAACTTGTATAACTTTCCAGCCTAATTTTAAAATTGGTATTGCCATTTTTCCTTATTGACCATTGTCTTGTCTACCTTGGTCTTGTGCATGCCCAGACTCTCTCTGCATATTTGGTTGTATTTAAAAAGAGGAGATAAAAGCAAAGCTTAATTTTTAATTTTGATTATTCATGCACCAAACCGTTACTGAGGACCAAGTATATGCCAGGTTCTGCTTTAGGCACATGGACAAAATGGTCAGATACCTTACTGATATGGAGCTCTCTGTCCTAACATGAATGACCAATACTAAATACAACTCTGAGTGAAGCTCATGCCTCGGGAGACGCCGCTTTCCTTCCTCAGTGACACCTGAGATCTGCACCTGCAGAAGGCTTCTTGGTCATCAGTGATCTGTCCCTGGAAGCCTAATACTGCTGCCAGGTGTGGAGACTATGTGGCTTAATGACACTGGAGAATGGTGATGTCTCACTTTGCTTTCTAGGCCCTTTCTTGGGCTCAGCACACAGATCTCTCTTCTAAGCCCTCTTTTAGGAAGGCAATTAAGACCCAGCCTCCCCCCCTCCAGGAGCTACAAAGATACAGGAAGAATTAATCATAATACAGGGAAGAGTGGTCTAATGTGGGTCTCACGGCTGCAGCATCACCCGGGAACTTGTTAGCTCTCTGGAGTCTCAGGGTCTGCTCTGGGGCCGGAGTGTGCATTTTAACAAGATCCCCAGGTGCTTGTAAGCACATTGAAGTTTGAGAGGCAATCTATAAAACACACAGACCACCGTACTGTGGGAATGAAGGAATGAAGGAAAGACGGTAGGTCTGCACGGTGGGCAGAAAAGATGCGCAGAGGGGGTGGAAGTGGGAGTGGGCAGGTGGGAAAGGGGTGGCACTGGCAGAGTGCAGGGTGCTTGCAGGAGGAGGCGCTGTGTGTGCAGACACAGAAGGGAAAAGAGCCTGGGATACCTGGAGGGCAGATCTAGACAGAATGTGGAGGAGGGCTACTGCCAGCAGATGAGACTAAGAGGTTGAAAGTGCCAGTTGTGAAACAGAATATGGAGGAGGGGTATCGTTGGTAGATAGATGTAAACACTGAGGCTAAGGCACCAGCCATGAAAAACAGCAGCATGCCCTAGGCCTGATTTCATTTTATGCTGCCAGGACAGATCGTCTGAGGTAGTGTATTTGTAAAAAAGAAAAAAAAAAGGAATTTATTCCCTCACAAGGGAAGCTGGCTAGTCCAAGACCAGGGCAATGGCCTTTACAGTAATGGAACCCCAGTAGTGAGAATTCTCGGAGCACTTATTAACACAGTTGCACTGGGGATTAAGTTCGTACTGCATGAACTTTGGGAGATTCATTCAAACCCTAGTACCAGGGCTGTCAGTAGGAATCTCCTCTCTTTCTCATTCCTTCTTCATGCATTTATCTTTTACATACACTACTCATTCAAAGAAAGATTCAAAACTGTAGAAAACAGTATTCTTTCTTTTCTTATAAAAATACATACATTTAGGTATACAGTAATGTATTGACATACACACATGCAGTTAAATTGTTACTATGTTCAGGAAAATCAACATTAATTTAAAATATGAAATAGATTCTCAACAGGCAGTGGTGGTGCACACCTTTGACCCCAGCACTTGGGAGGCAGAGGCAGGCAGATCTCTGAGTTCAAGGCCAGCCTGGTCTACAGAGTGATTTTCAAGACAGTCAGGACTACAGAGAAACTCTGTCTTGGAAAAAAAAGAAAGGAAGGATGGAAGGAAGGAAGGAAGAAAGAAAGAAAGAAAGGAGATTCTCTTAGTAATTTTTCAGGATATAATACATTATTATTATTTTGAGATGGCCTTGAAGTTTGTAGTCAAGGCTTCTTGTCCTCCTGCCTCCATCGTCAAGTGCTGGGATTGCAGGGGTGTACCCTCATGTCTGGTTTATGCAGTACTGGGGATCAAATTTAGGCTTTATGCATACTAGGTAAGGACTCTGCTAATTGAGCTACACCCCAGCCCACCATACAGTATTAATTCTAGTTCCTATGCTGTGTGCTCAGTCTCTGCACTGACTTGTACCTGCATGCCTCCCCACATCTCCCCATCCCTGGCAGCCTCCATCCCACCCTCTGTGTCTACACAGCCAATGATTCTGTAGTCTGTGCACAGGTGAAGCTGAGCACTGCTTTGTTCCTGTGGAAAGACGCTTCTCCTTAGAAGCCCAAATCTCTGGGACCTCTAAGGAAAATGAAAGCCAGGACCTCAGAAATCTCTGGGCTTTGGCATCCCTTGGACTTTGTTTGATGGTCCGTTCTTAAAGGGTAGTAAGTGAAGGAAGGGAGTCAGGCAGATCTGCATCACACAGGGCAGCCTTGTCTATAAAGTGATGATGTCGACATGTTTGGGAAGGTTAGAAACTGAGTAGCACTTGGTCTGTAGTTGACATTCAATTACCGCAAACATCTTCCTATTTTGTCTGTTTTCCTCAGAAGTTAACACACTACACTGTTGGTACCTGTAGCATAAGCTGCAGTTGTATTTTGCTGTGAGATGATGTCACTGGTCACTGTGTTTCCATGTTCTGTCAAGTGAAATGTTGTTATTTCCCCAAAGTGAATTTGATAGAAAGCTCAAGCAATAATCTGCAAGTTTTCTCGGGACCTGACAGCTGGACTTCCTTATCCTCCACACCCCATGCCAGCATCCTGTCTGTACCCCACACCAATGGGCCAATCAATCCAGGACCCAGGTAAGACCAACACCAGGAACTCACTCATAGTGGGATTTGGAGGCTTCCTGTATCTCCCAGGACTCTTGTGCATTGCTTACAGGATGTATTGGTTTAAGTTATTGTTCTGATGTTAAGTTCATAGGAAATGAGCGCTCTTTTGCAGTTAGGGAAAGGGTGATAGGAAGTCCCTATTCAGCAATAAGCTCTTTATTATGGCTACAGTGTTTTATGGGTTGAGATGATGAAGAGATTGGTCCATCTCCCCAGGCTTTGTACTGGGGAGCAGAGTTGAGGAGTGAGACCCTGGGCTATAAGGATGATAGAAAACACGTACAGACTATTGCATACTTGGCATCACATATTTGCCTTTTAGTCTCTACAACAACTTCTGAGCTGTGCAGAATTGTTTCTTCATTTTTGAGGATATAGAAAGTGGGATTCAGAGATAATAAGCAGTAGATGAGTCACATCAAGGGCTTCTGGAGGCAGTGTCCCGATGGTTCTATCTATCGAATTGCCTGCATTAGCTAGGGGAAGGCCTGACCACAGCTCGTATGCTAGAAGAACCTTCCTTTCATGGCCTTAACTATCTTAGACAGTTGCAAGGGTCTCAGACAGATGAAAGCTGTTTGAGACTGAGTAAGTTGTTACTAGCAGGGCCAGCAGGAGAATCTAGCCCTATTTTTTTCTTATTTATTGTATCTCACTGGGTCTCTTGGATTTTCTGCAGGAGTAGAGACTAGAGACACAGTCCTTGCCTGAAGCCCCCCTCCCATCACTGCCCCTCCTGGCCCTGCCTCTCACTTTCAAGTGGTTCTGGAAATGTCCATGTGCTTGTTGGTAGCATCTCTTTGCTGAAGTATCATCACCAATTCCTGTGTCTCTGTCTCTGCAGTCCCTATCCATGCCTGTGGACCATCAGCGATGGCGGTGGGGGCCCTGTGGCGTCAAGCTCAGAGGTGCACGTCAGCACCCCAGGGACATTTCTCCTTGGGAACCCTGCTGTCACTTCACCTTCCTCTGTGCTCCCCACCCAAGCAACCACTTCAGCCAGTGTGGAGGTCCTGGGTGAGCCTTCACTGACCAGCATTGCTGTATCCACCTGGACAGCAGTGGCCTCACGTCCCTTCCCAGGCTGGGGTGGCCCCGGGGGAGGAGGGCGCCATTCCCCCTCTTCATTGGATAGTTAGGCAGATTCCTAGGAGCCTCTGTCAGCAGAGAACTGTCTCTGTGTAGGTCCATAGCAGCTGCATCTGCTAATTCTAGTGAGTTGGGCTGCAGAGTCTCTTCACCCAGAGGGCTGGAGGGCTGCATGGTAATGCAAAAAGGCCTTCCAAAAAGTGGCCTAGCTTGGGTGATGCAGATTTTACTACTTGCATCTCCATTTCCTGTGGCTCCCTTGCTATCTTCGAACTTACCCCTGCCATGCTTAGATTGCAAAGTCGGCTTTGTCCTTTGTGCCCTGCCCCTTGCTTCCTTTTCTCTGGAGGTGGTACAGGATTGTGAGGAAACATTTACCTAGTGAGGTGGCTGCCTCTTAGCTTGGGGCAGCCTTGGAAAGCACCTGTGGCCATCAGTTCTGAGCTAGCTTCGGCTTTGAGACCCTGAGATGTGAGTCTATAAAGCGATCCACAGGAAGCTAATGTTAAAGTCAATCCCGTGTTGTTCGAAGAAGCGTGTCTGGAGTTGAGGAAGTGAGGTTGACTCCTCCACTAGCTCACAATCAGTGGCTCCCCATTTCCTTCAGAATGAGACTTCAGATGATGCCATATTCTAAGGACAGCCTCCAGCATTCGGCCTTCCTCTATATCTCCAATGTCAACTCCTTCCGTTAACCTTTTAGCACCAGTCAAGCTGGCGACTTTCCCTCCTTTGAACACTGCTGCACTTGCTCTCCTCCTTGCCTAAAGTAACTCCCTCCAGTCCTGCCTGTGTGAATTGTACCTACTTGGCCAGGATTGGTTGAAAGGCCACTCCAGCGTCAATCACCTGAGGTGATGTTTGCCCTTCTCTGTCCCCGCTTTCCCACCATCTTTACCTCAGGCACAGAGCTCACCACATTCCGCCTTATATTTCTGTAAGTGTATTTGCTTTCCTCATGATTGTAAGCCTCCTGAGGGTAAGACCCAGCCTTCCTGTCATTGTGCCCTTAGCTCCTGGTATTGTGCCTTGACTACCATAGGTGCCCAATAAACATTTGCTGAGTTGAACTGGTGTGAAGTATGTGTTTGCCGAAGGACTGTATGGAGTTGACTGGGAGGGAGAACTCTGACACTAGCCTGTGACACAGTAGCAAGTCAGTGTGGAAGCCAGGAACAGGTTGGTTAGTCAGTCTCCCTCATCTGAGGCACAACCAATTTTGGGATTGTAGTGACACATGGGAACAAGTGAGCTTGTCAGGGATCCCCTGGAGCCCTTTATAGGGATAGAGATGCCTGGGTATGTCTCATATCTGTGAGGATAGAAGCTTTGGGCTGAAATTCAGAATCTACACTTTAGGAATACTGTGAAGTGGTTGAAGAGCCAGGTAAGAAACTACTTATTTCAAATAGAGAAAGAGAATGGGAATTAATCAGGTCCTCAGCTCAGGACTGTCAACTCCAATCAAGGTCATTGCTGTAGTCAGTGATCAAAACCATGGCTTCCCTCCATCTTTCCTTTTCTTACCCACTGTTGGCTATGTTCATAAGTGTAGAAACGAGCCTTCCAGACCTGAGTGTTGAGCTGTCTGCATGTCACCAGCAGACTTCACTGACTGAGGGGGGCTAAAGCTCCACCACAGCAGGCCCAGTGGTCCCATCACTACTCCATCAGCTGAGCTCCCTCCACTCTGCGGCTGAGGGTGCCAAGCATGGCGTTACAGGGTCCTTGGCTCTCTCTATAATGAAAAGCCTCCTAACATGGTTAATTGAGGTTCCTTTAAGAAAAATAATACCTCTATCTCTAGAAACAATAATACTTCAGCTACATGGTATCCTGGGAGGCTGTTTTACTCCAGTTAGGGTTGCCTGGCTAGAGCTCTGGGCCACTAATTGATGTGAATGACTAAGGCAAGCTATACTCAAGTGACTATTCTTTGAAAGGGTGCTCCATCGCCATGTTCCCATGGCAGTGCTGTAGCCCAGGTCCCCAGTGTCTCTGTGACACCATTAGACATCATTAAGGTCTTAAAACATTGGCATCTCTGCCAGGTGGCATTTTGGTAAGTTTTAAAAAGTGGCCATGAATCTAGGCAGTGGTGGCATACACCTTTAATCTCAGCTTGCTGGATGCAGAGACAGGGGGCATCTTTGTGAGTTCGAGGCCAACCTGGTCTATAGCGCTATTTCCAGGACAGCCAGGACTACACAGAGAAACCCTGTTTGGGATAACAAAACAAGACAACAACAACAACAAAAATGTGGTCATAGCTTATTTGAGTGACAGGTTTGAGTGACAGCTACTTCAAGTTACTGGTGAAGGCCTTGTCCCCAGTTGTGGTAACAGCACCTAGTGTGCCAACTGTTGGGTGTGTTCATGTCTGTATGTCTGTCTACATGTATGTATTATTAAAGCATGAAAGCCCATCTTCAGCTTCACCTTTCCCACACCTCCCAGCCTAAAGCAAACCAAGCCTATGGTCCAGAGGCTCCAAACAGCAAGACACCAATAACTTGCTTTCTTTTTGTTACTCACTTTGCTCCAGTGGCTCCTATCCTCTGCAGAGCAATAAAGCAAAAAAGCGTGCAGCAGCGGAGTTGGAGTTGATTAAGTCTCATCAGTGTTAAAAATGAATGCTCATCTTGGAGTCTGAGATGATTCATATATGTATCCAAGTGATAATTGCTTCTGCGTTTAGGGTCTCCTTGCAGTTAGCTAGACAGCCAGAGCCAATGATTGCCCTTCTGGTCTCTCCTCTAAATAGTCAAGGACTAATTTGCCTTTGGCAAGAACCATACTGTTTGTTGAGGTTGGTTTAATAAATGATATCTGATATGAACCTTTGAGGCTGTCTACCTCTTTCTCACTCACATGTTTTTGCCCAGATAATTATAAAACAAAGCTGACATCACATGAAATTGAGATGAATTCCCACCTGAAGAGAAAGAATTACATAATTCTCTCAGCTAAGCAGTAGATTCTAATTCGCTCTGTTCCATTCTGTTCTCTCTTCTATTCTAAAGCCCCGCTGCACCTTTTCTGGCTTGTATTTGGATTTGTGAGACTTCACCATCCTTTCCCTCCCTGAGTGAGCCAGCCTGTCACCACCGACCTCCGCATACCGAGTGGAGCCAGGTGCTATAGGGGACTATTGGCCCCTTTTCTGTCACTTAGTGGGCATCCCTTGAACTTGGAGGACGTTGTGGAGAGGTGGAAGGTGAGAGGGCATTGTTTCCATCAGCTTAGCCATTGACAGGAAGTCGCAGTAAAGGCTGCCTGCCACTTTATCCTAAGACTGGGATAAAGCTGGGCGAATATCAGCCAGCTAAAGGGGCACTTAAAATTATCCTGGCACATCTGGGACACCACATCCTTTTCCCAATGCACGAGTCTCTGCTGAGGGTTGCCACACTCCCACACAACTCCACCCTTCCAAGCAGAGATGACTGGCTAGATCAGGATTTCTGTGTTTGTACCACAGTCCTATCTGTTGCAGGCTGTGTGGGGCTCCTCAGATCACAGAGGGCTAAGTATTTCCAAAGAAGAAGAGAAGTGGAGTCTCAGTTTGATATTTATTGTAAACAACATAAAATTAAAAATACTTATGAAGACAGGCGAAGTTTTGTTGTTGGTGCCCCGGTTGACTGGGCTTCACTGCTAGCCTGGTCACTGTGGCTCTTCTGGGGACCCAAGGTGAATAATGTTTGTCCTTCATCCTGACAAATCTTTGGGATCTCCAAAAAGTGATTCCCTTCCTTGCGCTCAGTACCTGAGGACCCAGGGCTGCCCTTGTACTTCTTGGGCTGGTGACACTCTGGGACTGTGTTTCCTACTCCTTGGCACTGTCCACATTCAATGTGAGTGGCCCCAGTGACTGCACTATATGCCAGTCATCTGGAAACCCTCACAGACACACCCAGAAGTGAGCTTTGCCAATCACCTGGGTGTCACAGAAGCCAATCAAGGTGGAGAAGCCTAAGCACTCAAACTTACTCTTCCCTGCCTTTGCTAGAGCGGCTATGGGCCATTTCCAGGCCATGATTTCTGTATATAAATAAAACCTAGTAAGTAAGATGGCCCTTACCGGAGGAAACTGCATTTTGTTTTTCTGAGAGTCAGTGTGGGAATTGTCAGAAGGACAAATTGTCTCACAAATCCCATTCTGTTTCACTGTTCTTAGAGGCAAGAGAAGGAAAGAGCAGTTCTGGGGACCCCAGGACACAGAAGTTGGAAGCCATATGGCAGTGGAGCACAAACTTTGATGTCAAGTGTAACCGGGATGCTCCTCCATGCTGTACTAGGAAAATACATGATGTGTTGGTCTATGGGCGATTCTGTGGGGTCACTTTCTTGGTTGATGATTGATGTGGGAGGGCCTGACCCACTGGGGGGGGGGTGCCACCCTGGGCAAGAAGTCCTGGATTACATAAGAGAGCAGGTTGAGGAAGCCACAAGAACAAGCCAGTAAGCAGCTTTCCTCCATGGCCTCTGCTTCAGCTCCTGCCTCCAGGTTCCTGCCTTGAGTTCCTGCCATGACCATCTTCAGTGATAGTCTGTTATCTGGGTGCTATAAGATGAAATAAGCCCTTTCCTCCCCCAAGTTGCTTTGGGTCACAGTGTTTATCACAGCAACAGAAGGCAAACCAGGTCGCATCATTTCTTTAATTTGAACTTTTAGCCACTGGGACGATCAACATCTATCTGTTCAGGTTCATAGAAAAAGGGAGGACCTGTTTTCCCCCTTATGAGTTTGTCAGGTTCATAGAAAAAGGGAGGACCTGTTTTCCCCTCATGAGTTTGTTCAGGTTCATAGAAAAAGGGAGGACCTGTTTTCCCCCTTATGAGTTTGTTCACGTTCATAGAAAAAGGGAGGACCTGTTTTCCCCCTTATGAGTTTTTGCTACTTCCCTGGACACTCTCTCCAAGAAATCACAATTAACAACTTTTAGCCTGTCTGAAAGGGTAAAGCTCTGAGGATCAGCTTCTTCTGTTAATGATATAGCCAATATCCAGGTTGCTGCATGAGCTCAGGTTTCGTTCATATGCATCTCTGAACTCCACAGCAGGTTGGGCCCTTCCACACAAACCATTAATCAAGAAAATGCCCTCACAGACATGAGCACAGACTGGCCTTGTGGGGAAAATTGCTCGGTTGAGGTTGTCTTTTCCCAGGTGACTCTAGTTTGTGTCATGTTGACAAAAGCTAACCAGCTCATGGGTACGCACAAGTTTGCTACAGTTCAACCTGAACAATGTTTGCTGGATTTCATGCTATTTAAGAATGACTTTCTGAAATGTCTTGACATTGGACTGCTGAATTTAATTACTAATGTTTATTGAGCAGTTATTATGTACCAGTACTGTGTTAAGTACAAAGGCATGCATTATCTAACTAACTACTTTTGGAAGCTTAGAAGGCACATATCATCATTTTTAAATGGCTTTATTAATTTCTGATTTGCAAACTAGAAACTTGAAGTGTTTTAAGTCATTGGTGTTTAACTTTTTTTTTTTTTTTTTTTTTTTTGGTTTTTCCAGACATGGTTTCTCTGTGGCTTTGGAGGATCTGTGCTGGAACTAGCTCTTGTAGCCCAGTGTGGCCTCGAACTCACAGAGATCCGCCTGCCTCTGCCTCCCGAGTGCTGGGATTAAAGGTGTGTGCCACCACTGCCCGGCGGTGTTTAACTTTTAAGTTACATTTATTTATGTGTGTGTGTGTGTGTGTGTGTGTGTGTGTGTGTGTGTGTGTGTGGGCGGGGGGGGGGGGGAGCCTTATGAGTTTGTTCAGGTTCATAGAAAAAAGAGTCAATAGTCTCTTCTTCTGCCACGTGGGCCCTAGGGTTTGAACTCAGGTTGTCAGGCCTGGCAGCAAGCACCTTCACTCACTGAACCATCTTGCTGGCTTCAATTTCTTGATTTTTAAAGTATATTCACAGAGTTGTATAAGCACCAGCATCACTTAGTTATAAATCATTTTCATCAGCCTATAAAG